TGACAGTGGCAGATTGCTTGGTGCGCAGAGTTCTGATCGATCCTGGGAGCAGTGCGAATGTTATGCCGAGGGACACATTTGACAGGCTCGACATTAAACCAGAGAGGCTCAAGCCCACCGGAAATCCCTTATTAGGGTTCGATGGGAAGAGGGTGGAACCCGTCGGGATGGTGGAAGTAGAAGTTCAAGCTGCAGAACGAGCTCTTATGGAAACTTTTGTGGTTGTGGAAATTCACCCCTCGTATAATCTCCTGATGGGAAGAGGATGGATTCACAGAGTCCGAGGTGTACCCTCAACTCTGCATCAGGTCATGAGGTGCCTCGGGCCCGATGGAGATAAAGTAATAGACATTCGGGGGGATCAGGTCGCAGCCAAAGAGTGTTATTCCGTCACACTAAAGCATGCTGGGAAAGGAAAGGCGCCCGTCCGTTCGACAAGCCCCAGATAGCAATTACAGGAACCTCCGCTCGAGCAGAATAGGGTGGAGGAGTCAGCCGACTTGACCGAGGAGCCCCTTCTGGATGTGCAGATCGATCAGTCCAGGCCAGAACGAACTACCAGAGTAGGTATAAGACTGACCAGAGAAGAGCAGCAAGAGCTAGTGGATTTCTTGTCCCACAATGTCGACGTATTTGCATGGAGTCACCTAGACATGCCTGGAATTAGTCCTTCCGTATCCTGTCATTCCCTGAATGTCAATCCTAATTTCAAACCAGTGAAACAGAAGCAGTGAAGATTTGCTCCAGAACGTAATCAGATCATAGCGGAAGAAGTCGATAGGCTGCTTGATGCGGGATTTATCAGAGAAGTGCACTACCCTGAGTGGTTGTCCAACGTCGTTGTGGTGCAGAAGAAAAATGGGAAATGGCGAGTATGCATTGATTTCACCAATTTGAACAAAGCCTGTCCGAAGGACAGCTTCCCGTTGCCTAAGATTGATCAAATGGTGGATGCCACCACTGGGTATGAGCGTTTAACCTTTCTGGACGCATATTCAGGTTATAATCAGATTCCTATGGACCCCGCAGATGAAGAAAAAACTTCTTTTGTCACCGAGCGAGGAACATACTGCTACAAAGTTATGCCTTTCGGGCTAAAGAATGCGGGAGCAACTTATCAACGACTTGTTAGCAAAGTTTTTAAGAATCAAATGGGTAAGATTGTCGAAGCCTATATTGATGATATGGTGGTAAAGAGTAGGAAAAAGGATGATCATCTGAAGCATCTGCAAGAGGTATTTGATGTACTAAAGCGATATGGGATGAGGCTCAATCCGACCAAGTGCTCGTTCGGTGTAAGTTCCGGGCAGTTTCTGGGACACGTGGTCAACCGCAGGGGCATCGAAGTTAGCCCCGCTCAAGCAGAGGCTTTGATTAAGAATGCCGAGCCAAAGACGATCAGAGAGGTGCAAGCCCTAACAGGACGAATAGCTGCATTAAGTCGATTTATTTCAAAATTGTCAGACCACTGCAAACCATTCTTTGACACGATTCGGAGCCATGGAAGGCAGGTCTGGGGGGATGAGCAACGACAGGCATTGACTCATTTGAAGCAATATATGCAGAATCCACCAGTCCTGTCAGCCCCAGAACCGGAAGAAAAGTTATTTCTATATCTTGGAGTATCTGGTGTCGCGACGAGTGCCGTTCTGATTCGTTGCAAGGAAGGAGTGCAATACCCGGTATTTTATGTAAGCAAAACACTGATGGAGGCAGAAAAAAGATACTCAAAGGCCGAACGGGTGGTACTTGCACTTGTAAATGCAAAAAGAAAGTTGAGGCATTATTTCGAATCCCACCCCATAGCTGTTCTAACAACTTTCCCAATCAGAACGCTCATGCACAAACCAGAGCTCTCGGGCAGAATGACAAAGTGGGCCATAGAGTTGAGTTCATTTGACATAACGTATGAGCCGAGAACAGCTGTTAAAGGGCAAGCGGTAGCCGATTTCCTACTAGAATGTGATGCCGAAGATACGGAAGAGGACCTTAGAAGCGGCTCTTGGAAACTTTTTGTGGATGGCTCCTCTAACCAGATGGGGGCTGGGATTGGGATCAAACTGCAAACCCCAGAGGGTACTTCCTTGAGCCAAGCACTCAGACTTGAGTTCCGAGCCACCAATAATGAAGCGGAATACGAGGCGTTGCTAAATGGATTAAAGTTGGCCAGAGAGCTACAGATCAAAAGTTTGACAGTGTATAGTGACTCGCAGCTGATTGTTCGGCAGGTAAATGGCGAGTACGCAACCAAGGATGACATGATGGGGGCATATCGTTCTGCCGTTCTGCGTAGAGCCAAGGACTTTGCAAAGATTGAATTCATACAGTTGCCGAGGGAACAGAATGCAGATGCAGACCGTTTAGCATGCAGTGCTTCGAGTTGCGGTGAAACATTGGCGAGGGTGATTCCAGTAGGAATAGTGACCCAGCCATCCATTTTCGAAGAACCGATGGACTCTGACCCTTGGCAAGTCAACGTCATACCGTATGAACCGAGTTGGATTGACCCAATCATTACCTATATTCGAGATGGCGTTTTGCCTATGCAAAGGGATGAAACTAGGAAACTCAAAAAGAATGCTGCCAAGTACGCCATCGTGCGGAACCAGCTGTACAGAAGGTCCTATTCTGGCCCGTACTTGAAATGTGTCACCCCCGCGGAGTCGCAGCAGGTATTGCGAGCTATTCATGAGGGTGTGTGTGGCAATCATTCTGGGGGAAGATCGTTAGCGCATAAAGCAATGACACAAGGGTATTTCTGGCCAAACATGTCAAGAGATGCGGAGGAGTTCTCTCGAAGGTGCGATAAGTGCCAACGATATGGACCATTGATCCACCAACCACCTGAGGAATTGCACGTAATGGCCTCGCCGTGGCCTTTCGCGCAATGGGGGATGGATGTGGTCGGTCCTCTGCCAACTGCAAGAGCTCAGAACAAGTATGTGTTACTGGCCACGGATTATTTCACTAAATGGGTGGAGGCAGAACCGTATCCTAGCGTGACTCAGACTCAGGTGAGACGATTTATCTGGAACAACATTATCTGCCGCTTCGGTGTTCCCAGAACAATAGTCATGGACAATGGCACAAACCTCGACAGCAGGCAAGTAAGAAAGCTGCTGGAGGAGTATGGAATCAACTAGAAGTTGGCTGCAGTAAGTCATCCTCAGGCCAACGGACAAGCAGAAATCACAAACAGAACCATTTTCGCCTGCATTAAGAAGAAGCTGGAAGATCATAAGGGGAAGTGGTTGGATGAACTCCCGAATGTTCTATGGGCTTACAGAACCACCCCAAGGCGGCCGACTGGGGAGAGCCCGTTCGCAATGGCGTATGGTACCGAAGCAGTTATACCGGTTGAGCATTTAGTCCCCACTATCAGAAGCTTAGCATGGAGTCGGGATCAGAACGACGAGATGTTAAGATTGAACCTCGACATGATAGACGAAAGGAGAGACGCAGCGGCTATAAGGCTAGCATCGTATCAGCAAGTGCTGGCGAATAGTCACAACAAGAGAGTAAAACACAGGGATTTTGCCCCTGGCGATCTGGTTCTGAAAAGAAAGGTGGGGATGGTCAAAAAAATGATGCCACCCTGGGAAGGCCCATACAGAATTGCGGAAGTCATTGGCAAGGGGACATATACGTTGGAAACCATGGCGGGAAGGTTGGTCAGCAAGCCCTGGAACGCCACGTCTCTGAAGAGGTACTACCAATAAAAGCTAAGTTCTGGCTTTAATTGGATGTTATTTGTTGTCAATCAAATACGTATGAATGAGCAAGTTACTGAAATTTACAAAAAAAGAATTTTCTTTTCCAACGGTCTACTATAAAAACTTAAAACCAAGTGGCAAGTGGCACTCTAGCCGAGCGCCAGGCACTTAAGCAAGATAAGTGGCAGCTGGCACTATAAGCCGAACGCCAGACACTTGCTAAAAATTTAAAGCCAAGTGGCAAGTGGCATTCTAGCCGAGCGCCAGGCACTTAAGCAAGATAAGTGGCAGCTGGCACTATAAGCCGAACGCCAGACACTTGCTAAAAATTTAAAGCCAAGTGGCAAGTGGCATTCTAGCCGAGCGCCAGGCACTTAAGCAAGATAAGTGGCAGCTGGCACTATAAGCCGAACGCCAGACACTTGCTAAAAATTTAAAGCCAAGTGGCAAGTGGCATTCTAGCCGAGCGCCAGGCACTTAAGCAAGATAAGTGGCAGCTGGCACTATAAGCCGAACGCCAGACACTTGCCAAAAATTTAAAGCCAAGTGACAAGTGGCATTCTAGCCGAGCGCCAGGCACTTAAGCAAGATAAGTGGCAGCTGGCACTATAAGCCGAACGCCAGACACTTGCTAAAAATTTAAAGCCAAGTGGCAAGTGGCATTCTAGCCGAGCGCCAGGCACTTAAGCAAGATAAGTGGCAGCTGGCACTATAAGCCGAACGCCAGACACTTGCTAAAAATTTAAAGCCAAGTGGCAAGTGGCATTCTAGCCGAGCGCCAGGCACTTAAGCAAGATAAGTGGCAGCTGGCACTATAAGCCGAACGCCAGACACTTGCTAAAAATTTAAAGCCAAGTGGCAAGTGGCATTCTAGCCGAGCGCCAGACACTTAAGCAAGATAAGTGGCAGCTGGCACTATAAGCCGAACGCCAGACACTTGCTAAAAATTTAAAGCCAAGTGGCAAGTGGCATTCTAGCCGAGCGCCAGGCACTTAAGCAAGATAAGTGGCAGCTGGCACTATAAGCCGAACGCCAGACACTTGCTAAAAATTTAAAGCCAAGTGGCAAGTGGCATTCTAGCCGAGCGCCAGGCACTTAAGCAAGATAAGTGGCAGCTGGCACTATAAGCCGAACGCCAGACACTTGCCAAAAATTTAAAGCCAAGTGGCAAGTGGCATTCTAGCCGAGCGCCAGGCACTTAAGCAAGATAAGTGGCAGCTGGCACTATAAGCCGAACGCCAGACACTTGCTAAAAATTTAAAGCCAAGTGGCAAGTGGCATTCTAGCCGAGCGCCAGGCACTTAAGCAAGATAAGTGGCAGCTGGCACTATAAGCCGAACGCCAGACACTTGCTAAAAATTTAAAGCCAAGTGGCAAGTGGCATTCTAGCCGAGCGCCAGGCACTTGCCGTAAACAAACACACGGCAAAGCTAATATAAAAGAAAAAGAGAGAAAAGATATGTATGTACTGAAGATAAGTTGAATAGAGCACAACACATAGGGAAAAAGAGTTCTGTCATTTCATTAATATTGAACATTGAGTTTACAAAAGAGAGATGTCCATCATTACAAGAAGATATGAAATAGAAGAATTCGAAGGAGCCCTAGCTAGACGCCTCAGTACCAACAGCATCCTGGTCGCGCCGACTCGCCTCCTCGGCCCCATCAGCCGCCTCACCTTCATGAGGTGGGGAATCAAGGTGAATGACTGAATCGTTCGGCTGGGGTTCAGCGTCAGCAGTGGCTATAGAAGGAACCACGGTTGACGATTGGGGAGCGGTCAGTGGCAGAGCGGTAGGAGGAGCTGTGATGATCCTTGAGGATGCGATGTCCTGGCACTCATCAAATATACGTTCCGCTTCGGTGGGTTCTGGGTCGACATAGACCCCCAGAGGTTCGATCCCCAGATCCTTGTCTACCTCATCCGGAGTGGAGCTGGTCTGTCCCTCATCCGGAACCCGGTCGGCGAAACCTTCCCGGAATCCTTGAGCATACCGAAGAGCACCGACCCTGGAGAACCAAGCGTGAAGGGCCAGCATCCCACCACCCACTCTGCTGATCGCGTCGATCAGAGCGGTACGCTCGTCCAGAGCTCTTTTTTCAAAAGCCATCCGAGCAGACTGTTCATCAGCTAGAAGGCGCTGGAGTTCTGCCTTCTCTTCTCTAATTGATTCCCGCTCAGTCTGCCAGACGCTCTTCTCAAGCTGGAGGGCGTCCTTCTCATCCTGAAGGGAATCATTCTCCTTCTTCAGGACATCTCTCTCTTGCTCGGCTTTGTCAAGCCGAACCAGCACCTCGGTATTCTTCATGGCAAGGAGGTCGTTTTCTTTATTAGCCACCTCCAGGCTGTCAGAATACTTTCGGGCCCTGGCGTTCCCCATCTCCACCTGCTTCTGCATGGCCATCATCCCGAACAATGTCTGCATAGGTGCACAATAAAAACGGTTAAACCAATAGTCAGAACGGGCGAAGGCAAGACCAAGTAATATAAGAGAATTCATGAGTTGGAAAATAAAAGTCACCTCCATAGCAGATTGGGGAAAGCGACTGAACACGTCCTTCTGGGAAAGGCCCTTTGCCGCCTCAAGGTCCTTCGGAGTCCACATGCTCCTGTAGTAGGCCATAGCGGTCTGGCCATCCTTCAGCATGGTCTCGTTCGGTTTCACGAACGTCCCATCCGTTCGGGTGTACCGAGGGGCCCATGGCGGTAAGCTGGGGATAGAAGGGGGGCCTGAAGCAGAAGCAGAGCCACCAGCTGCAGGAGGCCCAGAGGGAGAAGGAGCTCTGATCGCTCGGTGCAAGAGAGTACCCGGCCCAGAGACCCGGGTCCTTCTAATGAGAGGCTCCTCCTCAGGATCGATTTCACTGTCAGGATGAGGCCTTTTGCCTCGTTCTTTGTCCCGACCGCCCCCCGCAGCAGCAGGAGTTATGGTAGCTGGGGAGGGCGCGTTCTGGTTGGCAGCAGGGGCGCTGGCAACAGGGTTAGTAGCCACTGCGCTCGGGACAGTGTCAGATATGGTGGCTGAGGAAGAAGCTGACGCTGGAGAGGAGGTTGCCCTAGCAGCAGGAGTGGCTGGGGGAGTATTTTTCCTCCTGCCAAAAAAGGGAATCTGAAGTCTGCTCATGTTGTAGCCGAGTGATGAGAGCGCAAAGAGGTTGTCTGAAGTGAGGAGATCTGAGCAGGAAGGAATATCGTTCAGAACGTATCTCTTCAAGTAGTTACTCCTATCCCTGCAAACACTATAGCTCAAGTCATCACAAGGTATTCCCAAGGAGCGGCATAAGTAAGTGCAAAAACGAGGAACGCATGTTTCACAGGGGCAGTCATGTTTATGGGATTTGAATTTTTTATAGGAGGAGACAGAGCAGACACCAAAGGCGCTCGGGATTGGGTAACCCTCTGCAGCCGGCGAAGACCAAGCCCCACTAATGCCCACTATGCTATCCCTCCAACCCTTTTCAGATTTTATTGTGTCAGTACATATGGACATCTTCTCGAACGGGTAGAGGTGGTAGAAGGGCTCGTTAATACGGATCTTACTCACCTTATAGCACAGAAGGAGGTCTATGAGGTCGAGGTCCAGATTTTTGTCACGCATCAACAAGAGCATAACAGATATGATTCTAAAGAAGTTGGGGTTGACCTGCAGAGGGGATATCCCCAATCTATTGAAGACATAACTAAAGAAAGGGTGCAGAGGGAACCTAACAACATTCAATTGAAGGTTCGTGAATAAGACTTCGCCGGGCAGGAGGCCGGCGCCGGTCGTAATGTTAACGTCTTGGGGGCAAACCCTAACTTCGATGTTGTCAGGAAGTCTAAGTCTCATACGAAGAACATCCAGATCTACAACCATGGTGGAAGTGATAGAAGAATCTACAAGAGGGTAAATGGAAGCCTGCCGAAAGTAAAAAGAACGAAACTAACCTCGGAGGACTGCAAGATCGCTGGAAGAATGACTCTTGAAGAATTTCACCAAGGAAAGCTTAGCACTGTTCTAGAAAAGAGAGAGACTTGGCTGATGATGGAGACGGTAAAGGGAAGTGAAGTGGAATTCTAGAGCATTATAAAGGCGAGGGGGCCCGAGGGCCGAAGCGTCGGGAAGGCCAGAAATCCCTCGAGCCCCGGAACATTGATGCTGGATCTGACCGTCCACTCCCCCACGTGGTTATCTCGAGCCGTCAACATCATGATGAGACGCCATCAATAATTACCCCTTATTAAATAAGGGGCAATTATGGGGGCAGTTGAGGAGGCCCCGGATGACATGGGCCAGATCCGACTCGCAAACATAGCATTCAGTCCGTACAGCTGGGCCAGCCCATAGAAGGACACTGCCATATGGGCCGAACGAGAGTAAGCCCATCAAAGGTGACCAAGGCTTACGAAGGAATAGGCCCAGATCCAGCAATTAGTAAATATCTTGTAAATATCTTGTAAATATCTATAAATAGGAGATGGAATGAAATGAAGGGGGATTTTTTTTGGGGTTGAGGTGTAAGAATTCTAGAGAGAGAAAGTGGAGAAGGAATTTCTTGCATCTTCAACTATGTATATTAATATTGAACGTAATTATTATATTATTTTAGTAATTACATTTTTACCATCCAACAATTACCATATATATATTGTGCAAACTACAAGAGTGTTTTTTCACTTCACCCTTTATATATATTGTGCTAGCAAATAATTCACACATCTATCCACTTTGTTTATCATGCAATTTTACTGTATTTTTAATTTTAAAGAACATAATTCTACAAATTAAAAATAGAGAAAATTTAATTTTAAATTTTAAATTTTTTTTTTTTTTTAAATTCAATTCCATTAAACTAATTCCACAAAGACTAAAATATCCCTTAAATAATAATTTTCTAATTAACAATCACGAATTCACGATGGAAGTGGAAGCGGAACATTCCACATTCATTGGATTCAGTGAAGGATTCAATTAAGTGCAATGATTTTTTTTGTTTTCTTTTTCTTTTTTTTTGTCTTTTCTGTCAACAATGATTTTCTAATTGACAAGCACGACCGAAATGAGAGGCGAACATTTCGCATTCAATAAAGTGCAACATAATTGACAGTCACAACAAAAATGGGAATTGAACATTCCGCAATCATTGGATCCAAAGGATTCAATATAGTGCGCTAAACCATCTCTAATTGGCTATGTAATAGGACACGGGATACGGACGGAACGTTAACATGTTAAAATTTTAAAAAATAAGACATGAATATAACCTGAATACGATTATATATAAATATAAATTTTTATTTTTATACATCTATTCAGTAATAGTATTATAAAATTTTAAAAAATGATATTATGTCATCATTGTAATAATTTTTATATCATATATATCATTATTTCATTGTTTTGTCACGATAATTCATATTATTTTTAATATTAGTGGATAGACTTGTATTTAAAATATCCGAGAATTGTTTAAAAAATGTCAAGAAAGTATTAAAAATAATAAAAGTAATTTTTATTTATGAACACGTATATAAAATGTCGAATATATATTCAACAAGTGTCTACAAAATGTCAATACGATAAAAAATAATAATAATAATAATAATAATAATAAAAATGAGAGATAGGAACATTTTACGTTGAGTAGATTTAATAAAGTGAGACCTGCACGGGTCCCAACCTCATTAAATCAAATCAAGTGAACGTCAAATCAAATAATTATTAAACCTAAGGGTGCACACGGTTCCGGTTCTCACGGTTTCGGCCGGAATTGGAACCATTCACAACGGTTCCTAAAAAATGGAATCGGAACAGGAACCGTATAGTGTGGAACTGAACCGGAACCGAATCGTAGAATTGGTTCGGTTCCGGTTCGGTTCCCATGGAACCGTTAACCGTTGGTTTTTGCCTTTTTACAGTGTTGTAAGTATGGAAGAAATAAATTAGTTGAGGAAATGGTACCTGTTTGTGCCTGGGAATAAAAGACCGGACAAATGTGAAATTCACAGATTTTAATACTCTAAATTTGAAATTCACAGATTTAATAGAGAATATGTGAAATTCACAGATTTTAATACTCTAAATTTGTGGAAATAATCAGTAATTCTAGATTAATTGACAGTTAGCTCAAACTCATCGCGGAGTATTCGAAAGAATTCAATTACAGAGTGGTGATACTGAAGAGTGCAACTTGTGAATTGGGCAAAACAAACAAGGAGGAAGAGTGGGATGCAAACAGGTTCATGGTCTCTTTCCTCACCCTAGTACAGACAACGTTGCAAGCAATAGAGAAGCAAAGAATTGAGAAATTTCTCACCCTATTACAGACAACGTGGTCTACAGAAAAAGCAGAGTCAATAGAATTTAGCAACACTTTCTCAAAAATAAAATTACGGTTCTTTTAATTTGTATATATAAACAAATGAATATACAAATGTCCCAAATACAAAGGACGCTAGAAGAATTTGTAGACTCTTAATAAACAAAAACTGAGGTTTTTTTGGGGTAATTAAGTATCAAATACTGAGTTTGTGTTCGCGAATTCTGTACCTAATTAATTAAAAAGTTTTATGGAAGATTGCTTTGCCAAGTATACATACACAATTGTAGATGCGCAAGTATGTTAAAACCTAGTTGAGGAGATTTCCCATTCTCCTTCACCAACCTCTAATGCCTCTAAATCTAGTCGTCTTCGAAACGTTGTTGGTGCCTGGCAAATGCTTCAGCGTAAACTCCCCTCTGCCGCCGCACATCGGACTTGAGAGGAGGCGAGGGCGATGAGGACTGAGGAGATGAGAGGAGGTGACTCAGGCGAGGGCTATGAGAGGTTAGAGTTCAGAGGATGCGAGGGTTAGCTTAAGGTTCGTCACTTCGTCAAACCCTAAGATGAGATATTGAGAGGAGGCAGGGAGTGAGGACTGAGAGTTTGAGAGGCTGAGAGTGAGAGCGACGAGCGTGAGAGATTTAGGGCAACAAACTATTAAACTAATAGGGTTTTTTTCACGTGTCTACTGTCTAAGGTCCAGGCTTGAGGCTCCAGCGACTTATCTTTAGTTCTTTACTTTTTTATTATAAAATTATATATATACGGTTCCGGTTCTTACCAGTTCCCACGGGTTGGAACCGGAACCGTATGTCAACGGTTCCTAAATTTGGAACCGGAACCGAAACCGTGAGAACCGGTAAAAACGGTTCCGGTTCTCACGGTTCCGATTCCGGTTCCGGTTCCGCGGTTCCGGTTCTTTTGTGCACCCCTAATTAAACCTGTCAGTTGTCACTTGTACATCGAGAGTTCTTTTTTCCTGAGTCGTACATTGAATTAATTGTCTTATTTTCTTTTTTCTTTCTAAAAATTTCTATTATAAACAACGAATGAATTGGTTTTTTTAGTTTGCATTTTCTCGACCCAACAAGTAAAAAACTTATTTTTATCAAGTATTCAACACATCTGTGACAGGAGAACAGAACAGCATATCTTTAATAATAGATTACGAGAAAACAAAAAAAAAAAAAAAAATCAATTCATTGCCATAGAATGTACAAGCCACTCGGCTCTATCATTTGTCCGGACAAAAGGAAAATTCAATTCATGGCCGCAATATGTACGACCGACTACTCACATGCATGTGGGGTCCACACTGTGAGTACTTAATACCTATTGTCTTTGTACTTTATCCTAAAAATAAAAACAAGTTTTTAATTCACAGTCATGGACACTGAGCAGGCATAAGATTCAACCGTTCATTAATATGCAGGTGTATTACGCCAACGGTTCAGACGTGGATGTAAAATATTTTTTTTCTCTTAATCTGGCCTAGCGAGCCACAATTGAGGCTTAAAATCTGATATTGCGTGCTTAACGGATCTAATAACAGTTCAACCTATTAACCACAATGGGCTGGGGTGTGATGATGAGCCGTGGACCCGAGGCCAATTCACAGGCTGAGCCTAGCGAGCTTGGATTGGATCAAAGCCTGGTCTATTGGACCAAAGCCTGGTTGGGCCTTTGGGCTTTTGGAGACTCCTAAATTCATGCTAGGTCTCTTACTGTGCACTTGGAGTAGAAAAGTAACTTGGTAAGAAAGAAAATATAATGGTAACCTCTCCCTTCAAACACTTTGAATCCGAAAGCCTATGCTCGTGAACACATATAAGCCTACACCAGTTTAGTGTTCACAGCCTACACAAATCGAGGCTAGCAATATTTGGCATCAACTTATTTACTAAACGAGCTCAAATATCAATCTAAAGTTTGGATCGTTCATTTAATGAACAAGCCCGAGTCGAGCTTTAAACGAGTCAATCCCTAGTTATTCATGTGCATTTGCAGTCCGCCTAAAAATTAGCTGTATTTTTAAATCCATCATCATTGTTAGTCATGTGGTAATTCCTAGTAGGGTTAATACCATATAAACTGCCAAATTTATCCAGAAACATCTCTGATGGTACCAAATGTCTTCATGCATACTGAGGACATTGAAAAATCACTTTGTACTGGCAAAGCTTCATGCTTGTATTTTGAGAGTGAGAAGTCTGAAACTGCATAGAAAATAATTAGGAAAACTGGCACAAACAACTCATGCAATTGCTTCTTGTTTAGCAGAATTGATGCCTGGCAAAAATCAAACAATGCATAATGAAAAGAAATGGCTTGCAACATGAATAGGATATATAAATAAAAAAACAAAAACAAAAAATGTTTAAATGCTTTTAGTTTTTCGTGTACGCAAAGCATTTCATAAAAAGCTTAACACCTCTCATTCTTATTACTTTTTCAATATGAAAAAGAAAAAAATTCAAAATGAAAAAGGTTATCTTATTCAAAACCCCAATTATGATATCCCTTCTCTCCCACTTCACACCTTGAAACACACCGTTCTTATAGAAAGAAAAGCGCTTTCACATCTTCTTAACCTGAAATGGCTGGGGAGAGCAAAGGTTCCTTTTCTTGAGGGTACATACTCCAGGGAACAGATCCACTGGAGACGGGGTGGGACCTGTAGCTCAGAGGATTAGAGCACGTTATGAACCACGATGTCGGGGGTTCGAATCCTTCCTCGCCCACAACCGAACCAAAAGAGGACTTTTTCCTCTGGGGGTGATCGGGATAGCGGGGGAAGCATGTAAAGCCCAATGACACAAAATTTACTTTTTCTCATTTTCACTCTGTATTAGGGAGTAATGCAACCATATAACTTGTGCATATAGTTCCTTATCTATTTATATACTTCGCCTTACTAACCAAAATTACGAGATTAAGGCAAGAGATTAAGGCAAGGATGATGATGATGACGACGATGACCTGACTAACCAAACTATAAAATAAGATGACAAACTTGCACTGCCTCAATTCTAAAACTCATCTTAATAAAGTCCAACATACCCAGAAAGAAATATTACCACCCCGTGTATTTTAATTGTCTTCGTAATCAGTATTGACAGTGATGCATCACAAACACACCAGAGTGCAGTATCAAGAAATATAGTCTATTTTATCACTTGATCAAACCCGACCAATGCCAGGTTATGATTTCTGTTATCAAGAAATATAGTGAATATTATTAATTGGCCGGGAGTACTACATATATAATAGGTACCCCGGGGTATTCAATATTTTTCCCCATGACAGAGTCTTTACTATATGGGTTACAAGTATGCAGCAACAAAATTTTCAAAAATTTCTAGTGTGATAGAATATTGTTTTACCAACCTACGAAAAAAAAGAAAAAAAAATTTATTTACATGCTAGACTCATACAAGCTATTTAGAGAGAAGAAATTTGTTTCCATATGCCACCAAGGGTACAGATTTATTTGTGCTAAACATGTACTGCAACATATATAAGCATCTTATGACATTCACTTTCTCACCAAATCCCACCATATACAAATTATTGTATCAAAGTACCATTACTATCTTCTGAAGTTAAACAAGTATTAGCGCAGTAAAAAAGAAGGATTTGAGGAACTTACAAATGAGACCTTCCCCTATAGTTAATCAGCTTGAGATGCAGAAGACACCAAGGCTTCCACTGCATCAAAGGAGTATCCTTCAGCACTTGCTATGTCATTTGCATTAGCTCGACAATCAATTATTGTCGGCCGACAATTTCCTTCCCGCCAAGAAGCCACCACCATTTTCCCACCTCCACCAATAGCCTCAATTGATGTCCCCATCTGAGGATGGAAGCATAGTGTATCCTTCTCACACCTTTGTCGGCCCATTCCCGCGCCATTTGCAGTGCCATTAGACTGCAATATCCCACAGTCGCCTTCCTTAAAACTCGTGGTAGTATTATTACACTGCTTTTGGAAGGACAAAACACCCAATTCATTATCAATCTTCCCTCTCAGATCCATCAACAACCCTCTAAGCCTCAAAACCTCGGCTTCGAGCATAGACTGACCCTGCAATTTCCTAACCAAATGCTGGTTCAAAACCCTCAATTTCTTCACCTCCTCCTCCAAAAATGCCGTGTGCGCCTTCTTCTTCTCCCTATACTTCCGAACCGCTTCTTTGTTCCCCGAAGCCCTCCTAGGTTTTGACACTACAGGTTCTCTATCGTTCGTCCCATCATCCTCCTCGGATTGAAAAACTTGGGTGTGGGTGTGGTAGCATGTGTGTGTGTGCGCCGCGTCAGGGCCAGGAGGATTGCAAGTGTGTGTGTGGGTGCATGTTTTGGTGTTTTTCAAGAATTCATCAAGAAATGAGTCCATTGATGTTGATACCTGAGTATTAGAAGAGGTGGAATTGGAATTTTGCAGTAAACCATAGTCCGAAAGCTCTATCTCTCCACCATCCATGTTGAATTCTCTTTTGTTCTTCCAAATTAAAACCTTGTGCAGTCATATAGTACTAGAAATGAGTATTTCTAAGAACCCCTATTCTCATCTTCTAGAGATTCTAAAAATTTGACCTAATTTATATGAAAATTTTGACCCAATTTACGAAGTTATCAACCAAAAGTAGAGCTCATGACTACTATTGATATAATTTATTCAAGAATATATGCAAAGAAGCAAGACCATGAGAACATAATCAATTAATTGCCCACAAAATAAATTCCCACAATCAACAAATTAAATCCACTAACCCCACTAAATTTCATGACCTATGAACATATAAAAACTACAAAATTAACAAATAATCATATGAAAAAGGTGATGTTCTTAATATACAGAAAGCAGCTTTTTTGAGGAATCAGAGAAAACCCCATACGGAGATTCTTCTCCAAAAGATAAAAAAAATAAAGCATAAAGACAAAGAATTTGATATTGAAACTGTTCAAGTGGTCAAGAGAATCAGAATACAAACACAACACAAGTGGGCGAGGTAAGAGAGAAAGGAAAATGACTCACTTTCTTGAGAAACAAACAAAGATGTGTTTGATCGAATTGGTAGGCAGAAGATATTTGATTTCTTTGTCACCAGCAGAGTGCATTTACCTGAGTTTTAATTATAATCTATATATGATCTATATTGTTTCATATATGTACCTGCACTTTAATCTTGGAAGCTTTTTAAGTGTACTGTGTATGTGAAGTACTTTTCCATTTTTATCTGTTTTAAGGAACATTTTTCAACCACACGTAGTGTTCCTCCTATTAGAAAACTTGTTGACTTCCATTTGTGCCCATCGACCAACTAAAAACTACCAATATGCTCCCTCTTTTCCAATTAAGCTTCAACTATTTTCATTTTATGTTTTTTGGGGTAATGTGCAAAAGAACCCATGTTATATAAATATGGTGCACAAAACGCCCCACTTGGTTTTTGTTTTTGGTTTTTTTTTTTTTTTTTTTGGCAAAAATATTATATTAAAACTTAGAAGTGCAGGCGTTCAAAGCCAAACTCCCAAAGTTAATGGAGAACAATCCAACTGCTAGATTATGAAGGCTTTCGCCCCCTTATATTTATTTTGATTGTTAATTTTGACTAATTTTTTTAATAAAATTTCCAAAGTATCTTTTTTATTTTTTCAGATAGTTTTTTATTTTTTATTTTAAATTTGTCTTAAGGGTATTTTAGATATTTTAGTCTTTAAATTGAAAAAATATTCTCATTTACTTAATTTAAAAAATGCAGAGTTTTTTTTTAACAAGAAGGAAATTTTCGTATATCTTGTATATTATAGGAGATTTTCTTTATTTTTGAAGTACTCCTGACTTTCTCAATTTAATTGTTCCATTGGAAGGTGAAGAAATATATAATTTTCATAAATACAGTCGCTTAAAAGCTTTTTCAACTTAACAATATATATGTTTAAACTTGAAATGATAACAAAGGAGTTTTAAAAGGAACAATATATTAATGCTGCATGAAAAGATAAAAGTCAAAAGAATCTCAAAAAGAGAATTAAATTAAAAAATACTGTACATGTGGGGCCTACAAGCAAAACCTAGAAGCATTGATGTACGTGTATAATTGGTGGATTGAGTTGACAAAAATGGGTTGAATAGATAGGTGTGCTTCCGTGTGTAAATAGAGCTTGGAAGTTACGGAGAGAGAGTCTTTACGGGCAAAAATGGTCTCCATGGCACCCGAGGTTGTCCATTGAGATCCTACGGCTACGATGAAGTCACTTCTTCTTCACTTGTCTTGTCATTATTTACTACGCGCCAAGAAACAAATGGTCAATTTGGTGCAATGGAAAAAGGTGAAAAGGAAAGGAAAAGTGACGAAGGTGAATTAAAAATTTATGTTTGGCAAAAATTATTGAAAAGATAGAGAAGAGTTTGAAAGGTTATGTCAAAGCTTCAATGGTGTTTTTATTATCCTCTCAAAAATGGGAGGAAATGGAAGGAAAGGGAAGGCAATGGTTGATGGAAGAGTTGTAATATCAATTTTACCCTCAAGATTATACAAGTTTGTAAAACAATATACATACAAGTTAGCAGTTACAGAGAGAGTGAGAGACGGCGGGCCGGTGATTGAAGCTTGCGAACAACAATCTCGTCCTGGAACAGCGGCGATGGAAACTGAAAGATATGGGTTTTGATTTTCTGAACAATTGAAATGATATACGGATACGGGTTTTGAACTTTTGATTCTTGCAAACAAATAGATAAACTGAAATATATGGGTTTTGAACTTCTGATTCTTATAATGGAGAGAGAGAAAGAGAGAGAGAGAAAGAAGGCAAGTTCAGAGTTGAGAACGAGAATAGAGATGGGGAGAGATTGGGGAGGCTGAAATGATTTGCCCAAAATTATTTTTTTCTTTTCTTGTGGCCCATCATGAGACTATATATATATACCCCAATCTCGCCTCCATCTCTCTCTCTCTCTCTCCATATATATATATATATATATATATATATATATATCTTTTAAAATATAAAATAATATAATAGTCAATTTATTAAAATAATTCCCTTTCTTTTTCCAAACATGATTATTATTCTTCCTTTTCTTTTTCTTCATTAACCAACTAAACATGATAAGGGGTTAAAATTATTATTCCCTTCCCTTTCCCTCATAACTAATATTATCCTCCTCCTTCAAACTCACCGTACCAAACATAGCCAAAGTTATTGAACTAAATTTTTTTTTTACTATGTACAAATACCATATACATAAGTAATACTCCGTATATAATATTATTTTATTCACTTATATTTATAGGTGGAGCCCAATTCACATTTACCTTTTATCAAAATCACATTTCTTTTAACTCGTTCATCTTCCTTATCTTTTTCATTTTTCCTCATCTGATTCTTGTTCTTTTTTCTTTTTCTCTTTAAATTCGTATCGTCCCTTTTTGAAACCAAAAGTCTAAAATCATTTTCCCCCCCAAAATTCTTCTCTCTCTCTCTCTATATATATATATATATGGAAATACGAAAATTCAATTGGCATTATAAGAAATTGGGTAAAGAGGACTTTGGATGGTCGAACCAGATCTGAGTTGACTCCGGTGGGATTATTGGCAAATTCATTTTAAAAACCTTTAGTTGGATGGCATCAAAATAAATGGTCCTTAAAGTATGCGTTGTTTGTGATGGATTGAAGATTTAGACAATAAATTTTTCTGTTTACTTGGACCGTGGGACTTAAGGAAAAAACATAAAAGAAAAAAATATATGTATAAAGAACAGAAAAACAAAGTTTCTGGTCATTGAGGCCTACTCTGAAAAAACTCCATACATTTCGGCAATAAGCTAAATCTTTTTATCATTTTAAGTGATTGATTGTGATTTAGAATTTCTTATAATTTTATTCGAAATGATAACCAAAGTTTATCTTATTTTACGCCAACCTAGGACTGGCATTTGGTAACCAAAATATTTGGGATGCATAATGCATCTATAAATTTTTTTGAGTAATGATAGGGGAACCGAAAAGGAATTCCTGAATTAACATTGAATTTGACATGATCGGTCATTCTTATCACATGTTAAACAATTATTTTTTGGAAACTATTTAATAAGATGATGTGGACAAAAACACGTCAGATTCGGTACTTATTCAAGGTTAATTCTTCGATCTCCCTATCATTATTCAATTTTTTTTCTTCATAATTGATATTTGTATTAAGAAAAAAAAATAATTACAAAAACTATAGTACATAATAAAGTGGAATGCAAAATGGTAAGGAGCAATATTCAAGTAAGTGTTGTCCAAAATATAGTCTAAGTATACCATATACTATAGTATTATTTATTTAAATATTATGTAAAAATATAATGTTTATATATATATATATATATATATATATATATATATATATATATATATTATAAAATAATAATCTATATATATAATTACTTATAATATATAGTTTAATAAAATAAAATAAAAATTATAAATAAAGGAACCTGATTAAAAGTCGAGGCTAGAATTTGATTCTATGTCCTTAAGACAGATTCGCCCCGCTATGGTACTAACGGATTCAGTGGCGTCTATCTCCCAGGATACAACGACTTGTCTTCCTTCAGTAGTAATACTGCAAACCAAAGAAATAGGCGAACCGGCTCGGTGTAGTATTCTCTGACTCGAACTCGGACTCGAAGTGACTGACTAAGGCTTGAACCCAAATACTAAGGTTCGAACCCACTGACTAAAGAGAGAAGGACGAAGAAGAAAATTCTAAAGAAGAGAAGAATTATCTGAATTTTGGTGTGATTTGGAATGAACCCAATGAGGGGTATTTATAGGCTAGATGGTGCCTTTTCTGAATGGGTGCAACCATTGGTTCACAATGGTTCAGGAAAAACTGCAGGTGGTTTATTTTGCAAAAAGGTGCAACCATTGGTTCATAATGGTTCATAAAAAAACTGTTTTATGGTTTTAATTTAAATTAAATACCAAATCCATTATGAAGCCCAGTAAACAGGCCCAATTCGGCCATCTTAATAAGCCCAGTAAAAATAAAATTAAAATCCAATCACACAAACCCAATTTCGTTTAATAAAAAATTAAACATATTTCACAATCAAGCCCTGCCCCGGCCCAAGCCCAGACCGGACCAGGTCGGGTCGGGAGGGTGGCGCGCGCGTGTGTAGTAGTTGGTTCGAACCCAAGCTTGCCTAGGTCCTCCCTCTCTTAAAAACTTAGGTGTCATTGGGCCCAAACCCAAATCTCATACTAGGCTTATTTAAACTTAAATTGGTTTTAATAATTTTCCGATGTGGGACAAACATTTCCCACATTTTGCAAACCCATTGAGGTTTTATCAAACACCTTACTTTGGAATTAATTTTTTATTCACCCGGAAACGGATTTAAGAAAGTAAATATACCACGTTCATCTCCTTGCAGAGAGGAACGCGTTTGTCTATAGATCCGCAATAAATTCTTAGCGGAATCTATTCAAAATCTCTTTCAAAGTTTATGTTTTTAATGCCCCTGTTTCCAACTATCCCCCACATGAATGGAAATTTGCGTAAATTGCAAATGAAAAAGATACAAACATCAGAGAGAGTACTATTGGAAAGCAACTGCATCAGGATAAGTAGTTTTTGGCCTTGAACCTTCCCTAATGTATTACTATCGGATTTACTGGCTAACCAGTGAACATGATGTCTTGAACTATTCAGCCGTTGATGCAAACCAAGATAATAGCAAACACACAATTCTTTCCCACACAAAGTCGGTTCTCATGGTTGTGTTCATATGGCCCTGAACAACTCCTGGTATTTTATGAGTGCTCTAGAAAACTTAGCCTTAGAAGTTCTCATAGAAGCGGCCCTACTTCACACTCATATAGGTGACTTCTTATTTAGAATATCCTACTATACCCCACTTGAATTTTCAAGGTATAAGAGTCATTAAAAGCATAGCTTATCTTACTCATCGCTGTAGGTAGCACTGTCTCATCATAGAAATGGGTAGAAGATTAAATCTTCCCAGTGCTTCTGGTAAGCCATTCAGAATTTCTGTTGTCCCTTTGAACCTAGATCTTGGGTTCTCCAGTCAACTAGGTTGGGTTTCCATTAAGATGACTCGTTATCTTTCGGCTTTAATACCATTCCCCTCAATGAACTATACACTTGCTCTCTTGTCAAACATTTTGTAAACGGATCCGCTAAATTATCTTTT